TTCTTCTTGTTTATCAGTTTCCATCACTTTGTCTGCAGTAGCACTCTTTGTTTCTGTTTTACCCAGTGAGCTGTCAAAGCTACTTTCATGTTGCAATGGATATCACATTATGCTATACAATGGAATATCAATAGGCAAACTGTCAACACATGTAGGTCAGTGTTTTGTAGATACTATTAAACCTGTATAAGTTTCCCATTTCATTATGTGCATATATCCCAAATATTTTGTGATTTTATTTAGATTCCCATTGTACATTATAGCTAAGTAGAGGAAAGTTTACACATATAAGGAACCATCACCATGACCAGTTTCTGGTTTCAGGCATAAAGAGGACATTATTTTTGTTTAATTGTTATTGTGATGCTGTCAACTCATTTTTCATTTTCTTTACAGCCAAAACTGTAGAAGCTGACATAGATAAGGGTGAAGAAAATGATGAAAACCAACAGCCTTCTTGGTGGCAGAAAAAGAAGAAGGGTTTTGATCGGTAAGTCGTAGGAAGTTTAAAAGTATAGAACATGTTGCCTTTATTAATGTATATATTTTTCCTTTCCTTTTATTTCATTTTATTTTATAGTTACTCTTCTTTTAAGATTAAATGTTGGTCAGAAAAAGTTTATTTAGTTGATATGAAACATAAAGCATCCACATAACAAGCATCCCATGTCTCTATGGCAGTTCACCTAATTTATTGGCCATTTGCTATAATAGTTTGCATTTAGAAGTAGGTGGAATGGTAGTTTATTCATTTGTTTATTCATTTTACTTTTAGCTAACATATTTAGTTTCATTTAATTTTTTGTTGATCTATTCTGTTGGTTTTGTAATCCAGACACATGTAGGGAAGTCTCCTTGTAGCCAGGTATCTATACCAATACATATTAGATATACTGGTATATATACTAAAATGTTTTATGAAGTTAATGAGGCTTCCCAACATTAGGTTTTTTATCAAGCTTTTTATTTTTTAGCACTTTAGTATCAGACAGTAACAAAGTATTTTGTGTTAGATATTAAAAAATAACAATATTCAATATTTTCATTTAGATATTAGACATTAACACATTATTTCTGTCTCTTTCCTGCACTAGCTTCGTGAAAGGGATGGTAGGGTGTGTATCCCGGGTAGCGGTAAATAACGTTGCTCCCTAGCCCAACCTACCCTAGCATGGTGATCCTGTTTGGCTACAGTACTAATAACTCATAAGAATTTCTACCTTGTAGAAGACATGTAAATAGCACTTCAGAAAAACAGTGAATCTGCAGTTATAGCAAATTTCACTGAATTCCATAAAGCACAAAGCTGTGTACTTATATGTCACAGTGAGTGACATAGTTCACTATTTTATCAGATACGAGCTCACCAAGCATTGTTTTTTCAATTGATGAGTGCAAAATTTGGATATGGAGGGTATATATATTGGACCAAACTCTTTAACATACATATATGTTTATACACACTTACAGGAGTGCATGTACATTAACACATTTAGCCTGACTTATAGATATAGGAATAGTTGCACATAGTGATACACATTCTTTTGAACTGGCAATCATACTAACGTGTTGTGCCCCAGATTGATGTTACTCTTTTGTAGTTGTTTTATATTTACTTGTGAATTTTTTGCTGATCATCTGTGTATGGTTTAGAGTGTCTCTAATGGTGAGCATGGTCAGCCAGTAGGTCAGTATTTTTTATTATAAGTTCATACAGACAAACATGACACTGGTCTTCAAAACAAAATTAATTATTGCTGTCTCTACAGTTATGTTTCTCATATTAATTACGTGATGTTACATTTGCTTTCCTCACTCATTTTCTCTAGTTGCTCTGACATCAAACCTGTCTCCATGTCTGGTTTGCCTTCCATAACTGTCACTCATATAAAATTAATAATTTTTTAATCTTAATGTGGCTGTCCTCAAGCATCTAATATAACTACCAATCAGTTACTATTTACCACTTTCTCTGTTATACATACATCAGTTGTTCTTCCCTAATTACATTCACTTTTTGAAACTGTTCCTCTGATGAATGACAAAACAATGACAGAAAAAACACTATACACAATTAATACATTTTGTGTACAGTGTTTTTCTGCCAACTGTTACTTTAATAAGCTTCTGTTTTGTAATACCATATTTTTTCTGATTTTTTTATGTACATATACCTGCACTAGTAATCCTGCAAAGAATACATGTATCTCAACTTATGATAATGCACTCACATGTTTCTGAATGAGGTGCTTTCATTTCTTCTTTTCGTAATCTAACTTTCTCCCCAGCAGATCATTGGCTCTCCAACTGATAAAGCTACCTGTGATTCTACTTACAAAAACTCTGTGGATTTTGCATGCATATAATTGTGTGGGTGACTGTGTGGAAGTGTACTTGCATGTGTAACTGTATGGATTAGGAAATATGTTTGCAAAATGAAAAGAGGGAGCAAGAAAGAGAAGTAGGGAATGAAAGAGAAGTTATGGTCTATTTGTATTCA